CGTACTCCGCAAGAATTCGAAGGTCAGCAGGAGCTGTGATACTATCGCGAACTTCGTCGAGACATTTTGCCCTCAGAGCGCGCTCTAAACAGGAGAAATACAACTCTCGCTCATCGCTGGTCGGAAGAGACCACCCGCAACCATCGAGATCGCAAAGCGGTGCGAGCTCATCGAACTTCGTGAGTATATCTTCTGGACTTGATATCAAGGTCCGGGCATCGTTCCGAGCAAGGACGCTGCCAAAACAGTCTATCCTCATGTCTTCAACTACATCTCCCCAATCTTCCGGGTCCAGCTCAGCTTGCGTGACAACTTGCACTAGATATTTGGGTCAGTCTGACTTCACGAAGACTATCCTTGATGCCTACTCACCGTAGACTTCAAGGGCACGGCGATTGCGTTCACCTATGTGGGCACGATACACTTCAACAGCAGCCTTAATCTCGTCGCGCGTTGAGTACATTTTCGCGACAACGTGGTTGAAAGCAGTATACACTAGTAAAGGGGCACGAAAATTTCCAAAGAACTAGAATTGGCCGATGTTGACGCAGCGGGTTCAGGCAAAGTAAGATTGGTTCAGGCGAAGTAAGACACGGGTTGGTCTGATGAGGGGAGCGCAATGAGTCGAGATTAGCGACAATGAATCACCCTAGGTACAAAATGGTCTCCTTTCCTGTTTCTTGCATAAAACGGTTATCGTGATTAAAACATAAGGAGCAAACCAATAGACTGCAAATGTCCTGTTGGTCGTTGTTCGTGTTCAAACGATCAGGTTGGTGGTGTCTGTTCTAGTTCCTAGTGACTCCACTTACCGCAGGCAGACATGTCAGGTTCCTCTGAACGGCATAATCGTGTGTGGCAACTCACAACTTCACCGTCAACACTGATAATTTGATGCCGACATCTTTTTCTGAGGGAAAATTCAGCCGATCCTTGGTCCGAGATGGAGCACCCTGCATCGTGACGACTTGGATTTAAATATGCGCTTTTGACTAGATGGGTGTTGAAGGAAGTCCCGAAGGGGCTGCATTAGCGCCTGTCATTTCGAGTTGAAAAAGGTTTCACTGCGATTTTAACCACCCCAGAGGCAATGAGTACATACGCCTGGCCACGTGGCATCGCACACTGGGATGTCAAGAGACGCACTTTAAGCATAAAGATGACATCTTAATGATATGTGGAAGATGTAATGGATCGGAGGCGTCCGGAGACTCCATCTAGGCAGTTTTCTAGGACCACGGTGACAACCAAACCCTTGAGGACGATTGCTCAGCATGCACACTGAAAGATAGTGACATACAACTACTACGTATTGAGATGACCATGCTAAATTCGTTTTCAGTCAAGATTTCTCTTTAGCTATTCCATGAGAGAATCAAGACTGATTCAAAACACACTAACAATTGCTTGCTGGACTCTAATCAAAGTAGGCCTCCCAGCACTTGGCGAGGCGCCTAGTCCCAGCCATGCAGTATGATCTTGTGTCGGGCTGTTTCCCATCTATTGAGAGTCGCGTGTACGCCAAGATATGCACTGCCAGGAACAGCATCCTGTTAGCGTCGACGAAAACCGGGGGCTCACACACATCACATACTTCACTGCAATTTTAACCACTCCAAAGGGATTCAATACACATCTCTTTGACCCCATGCAGTAGTGCGCCAAGATATGTATTGTTAGTAAAGCGATGGTATCCTATTGGCTTCAACGACCTGATAGCATCCACCTGTTGTTACGTCGTGGAGACCTTCACAGCAATCTCAACCCCCACTAAGGGGATCAATACCTGTGGTCATTATCACCACCGCCAAGACAAGAGTTGTGCCGCGGGTGTGAAAGCCTCCTGACGCTTGTCTAACATTCCGAATGCCTGCATCGGCAACCATGTCTGATAGTATGATCCACATTTCAATAGATACACTTAGGGTATCTATCTAAGTGATGCTTTTGATGCATAAAACCGACTTCATGGAAGTATGATGACTGAAGACCCAAGCGAGGCTAATAGTTCACCTATATCATTATGAGTCTAAGAGTCTTTCCTAAACCAACACTATGAGGAGTATGCACTTTTCTGATTTGGAATTCAGATATTCACCTCCATGCACGTTATCATTGTTACTAGACCTGAACACCAAGTTACTTCATTATCATAATCTTTAACCCACCATCGTCATTTACTCTACCCCAGCTGGAGCTCAATCACAAGCACCTGCCACCAACACATCTCATACATCCTCGATTGGCTAAAACCTCAGAAACTCCCCTGGTTGTCTGAATCAGATTTACCTAAAACGTTTACCACGGTAGTAGATTTAGATATCCGCAGCATCAAAGTTGCGAATCAAATCATAGTAGAACCTCAGAATCTCCATGTGCGCAGAAATCTGGATCCTCTCATCAATCGTATGCGCGTTCACCGTGGCCCCGTTGCGGATGGGCACGAAGCGGTACACATTAGGGGTGAGGTCTAGAGACCGAAGTCGTCAGCAAATTTCGCCCTTTTGATCGAAAACACTGCACATCACAAGACAAGATTTACAACTCTGCCAAAAGAATAGGGAGAGTACTTACTCAGATAATGTCTCGTATCAGTATTACCAGTCATCAGCTCCCCAACAGGCACAACCTTGCCGCCATCAAACGCAAACGAGCTCTGCAGCGTGCCCGAGAACAAATCCCAAATCGGGCCCTTGGCCGGCGACACCGGCGCCACGAGCGTCTTCTGCGACGAGCTCAGGATCAAGGTGCCGTTGTAGTCAACCTCGTACTTAACCTCCACACCACCATTCTCCAGACCGACAGAGCCCGCGAGATCTCTTTTCTGTGCAGCAGCGTACTTTTCATACCCCTCATCACCCTCGAACGCCACGATCTTGACCCCGTACTTCTCCGCAATGCCAGAAATGTACGAGACGACGTTGTGCTGGATCTCGGGGATGCTGTTCTGCGGCGCGACGCGGTAGTTCACGCCGACCTTGACGACCTCGGGCATGGCGTTGATCTTCTGCCCGGCCTGGAAGTAGTCCACGCTCTGCGAGGTCTGCAGGCGGTAGTGCGTCGGGCGGTCAATCTCGACCAACGTCTCCGCGAGCGCCTGCAGATCGCCGTCTAGCAGAAGCTTCGTGATCTCGGGCTGCGCGTCGGGGGAGTACCGCGCCTGGCAGACCATGTGCTCGTACAGCGGCGACTTCGTCGTCAGCTGCGGCGAGTACGGGTGCGCCTCGAGCGCGACGACCATCTCCGAGACGATGCCGATGCCCGTGTGCGGGAAGGGGACCGAGGAGTGGCCGCCGGTGACGTGCAGCTCGAGCCAGATGTCGACGTGGCCCTTCTCCATCACGGCGGGGAGGGCGTAGAGCGTCTTGGAGTCGAGCTGCTGCAGGCCCATGCCGCCCTCGTCGAGGATCAGCGCCATGCTGTTGTTGCCCCATTTTTGCTCGAGGTGCTTGGCGATGTGACCTGCGCCGCGCCGGCCGGAGCACTCCTCGTCGAAGCCCGAGGCGAGGATGATGGTGCGCTTGGGGATCCAGTTCGGGTTCGCAAGGAGGGTTTCGAGCGCCGAGAGGAGGGCCGTGAAGGAGTTCTTGTCGTCTGAGACGCCGCGGCCCCACATCCACTCACCGTCAAAGTGTGCGGCGAACGGGGGATAGGTCCACGTCGAGGCGTCGGCGACGGGGACGACGTCCTGGTGGGCGGCGAGCAGGAGAGGCTTGAGGCCAGGAGAGGAGCCCGGGATGGTGTAGACGAGGCCGAAGGTGTTTACTTTGACGAGTTCGGATCGCGCGTGGACCGCGGGGTAGGTCTTGCGCATGACATCGTGGAGTTCGTAGAACACTTTCCAGCGCGGGTCGGTGTCAAAGTCGCCGAGATCGTCGTAGCAGATTGACGGGACGCGCACGAGGGCTGCATGGCGGGAGACTTGCTTGAGGATGGCGGCTTCGGAGGTGAAGAGCTCCTTTGCGGAAGGAAGACCGTCGGAGGGGGAGATTGGGGGCGGAAGATCGCAAGTGAAGGAGGAAGCTGAGGGGTTGGTGAGAGGATGTTGGTCAGAGGAGGCGACGACGGCCGCTGCCGCAGATAAGATGCTGATGAGGGTGTTGGAACGCATCGTGAAGCTGTTGTTGTCGACCGAAGGTGCTCCAACCCAATGCACTCAACTCCGGCTTTGAAATTGTCACCTTTCTTCGGCCCAAATCACAGAATTGAAGAAAGAGAACGCAAAGGCTCGCGGGAAGAAGTGTAGAGACGTCATTTTGTAAGCAGTCACACACACAGATCCCTGTGTTGCGTGATAGCCACCTCCATGCATCCTTCACCATTGACCAGTCAATGTCTCGAGAGCTTCCCCATCCCCCGCTCGCCGAGATAGGAGCTCTTTCACCAACGTGCAATCATTGTGGGGTTTCAACAGATAACGGCATAGAACCCCAGTATTTGCCGATATCCATGTTTCGGAGTCGGAGTCCACCCGACCGGTGCCGATACGGACATGTGGGCGAGTCAACGCCGCGGGCAACTTGCGACCTGCCTAATCAGAGAGCGGAGGCTGCCATTGGGTGTCGGGTATTTGAGGTGGGGGTTCACGAATCTATCGGCAATTCTGTCATCATGAATTCTGTAGGATCGAATGCTACACGCAGGTCAGTCGGTGAATTGCTGTGCTAACACATGAGAAGATGTCGACGGTGTTTGGCTCTTGTTCATTGACTCGCTTAGAGGTCTGGACAAAGTTAATTGAACCCGGGGCCGTTCCGTGGACCGGATGCGGCACGTGCAGCAGGCATCGGAGTCAAGCCATGACACGGGACCGGGGTATGGTTCACGCAGCATTTGAAAGACAGATTAAATAAGAAATGAAGATGTAAATATGCAATGACTACATGGCACCCGCTTATCGGTATGCTCTGGGTATGTGCTAAGTGAGATTTTCTGAGATTATCCAAGGCGTTTCCATGCCACTATTACTCCATTAAGATTGAATGAGATTATGCCAACGTTTAGGCAGTCTGGGTAACCACGGGGCCGCCGGTTGTCGGGAGTGCAACCGGCGTTGAAAGAGCGTACAGGTCAAACATCTTAGCCCCGCCGCAGTAATTGGCAGTGTTTGTTGTGGTCGTGACGGTGCCGTCGGTGGTGAAGGTACTAACACTGCCATAGCAGTAGTTCTTGCAGGCCTTGGTCCCGACAAGGGAGGTGACAACGCCGCCCTGGAAGTCGAGACTCGAGCCGCCGTAGCACTCGTGGTGGTACTCCAAGAACAAGTACGGCAGCTTGGTTGTCGGTGTTGGGGCCTTGCTGTACACCGAGTTGGCGTGAGCAATGCAAAGCTCAGGCGTGACGCTCTGATTGGCAAACAGCAGAGGAAGTGCGTGTCCGGTAGGCCGGTCCCTGTAGCAGCCAACATAGTAGTACCCGTCGGTTGCCGTGGCTGAGGCCGAGGACGACGAGCTGTCACTTGACGAAGGGGAACTACTTGTGGTTGTTGATGCCGGCACAGATGGCACGAGGGAGCTAGATGGCGCTACAGATGATGATGAGATCACCGAGCTGCTTGATGACGGGCTGGGATTCGCGGTGGACGATCGGGAGCTGAGAACTGCGGAGCTTGAAGAGGCGACACTTGAGCTGGCGCCAACAGAGGCAGAGCTGGAACCGACTGATGATGATTGAATTGTCGGGGTACTGGACGCCGACGATGACTGTCCACTAGCAGCAGAAAGCTTGAAAAGATCAAGGCGGCTGGTTCCTCCGCAGTACTCGGACTATTCACCGTTAGAAAACATCTTGCAACGGAGGAAAGTAGGCTAACCTGGTTGCCGCGACAGAGCATATCGCACTCCTTCAGCGGAGCCGGGACAGATCCCGCGTTGGTTGCACTTCCGCACCAGCCTGATATCATTGTTAGAAAACGTCTAGTAAGCACGAGACACGAAACCTACACTCTTGGGCGTACTCAACACCCATGTACTGGAAGTTGCCCTTGGCGCAGAAGGCCGCGCAAGCCTTGGTTGTCATATCTGCCGAGCCGAAGGAAGCCCCCGACAAAGCGCGTCCGTTGACGCCTTCGGTCTGGCATCCCAGGAACTCGTAGTCGCCTGCTCGTGCAGCGTGCTGGGGCTGAGACGGTGCTTGGTTGGGGATTGTGTTGTTATAAACCGAAAGGCGGAAGCCGGCACCACACAGACCGACGGAGGAACCCGCACAAGGCGAAGAACATTCGGCTTCTGAGGTTGACATCTTGGCGGCTTGCGCATCCCAACCGCAGTAACATTCGCGGCCATACTCGACACCGAAGTAGTTGAAAGCTCCACCACCTGGCGCGCCAGTACTGCAAAATGCAGCGCACTTGGCCAAGCTCATGTCGTCCGAGGCGGACGACGCCCCCTGGAAGAGTCTCTCACCGTCCACAAGGTCCTTGAAGCACCCAGCGTACTGCCACTGCCCGCCGATGATAGCTGGCATCTGAGGATTGAGGGGCGACACGACAAATGTTGCAGATGGAGTCGCGCTGCTGGAAGTCGTGGAAGTGGGGGTAATTGTCGAGACGAAAGCGGTGCTGAGGCTTGAGCTTGGGGGACCAGACGAAGCACTGGACGCTAATGACGACGAAGTCACAGATGCACTTGAGACACCGCTGCCCGAGGATGTCGCAGAGCTGGTAATAGCCGAGGAAGATGCTACAGAGGAGGCTGGAGGGACGCTGCTAGCGGACGATGCTCTGGTGGAGGACCTCGTTGATGCTGGCAGAGATGAGCTAGAGCTGGGGTTCTTGAGAGACTCGTAAAACCCAGCAATGTCGAATGATGTAATATCGGCGTACAAGCTCATGTGACCGTTATCACCACCACATGCCTGAGTGTCATCTCCCGTGCAATCGAAAGTGCAGAGATTGAGGGACTCGTCCTCGTACGTAGACGGATTCTTGATGCTCGAACCGCACCAGCATTCTTGGTGGTACTGGACACCAGATAGGGCAAAACCTCTGTCGTTGCAAATGCCCTGGCACTGCTGCAGCGTGTTCGTCTTCTGTTGAGCAGCAGTGTTGACAGAGCTCTGAAGATTGCGGCCCAGATTGGTAGTATCCTTGAAGCATCCAACATACTGGTATTTGGCGGTACCGTTGGTAAGAAGAGGCCCGACTTGCTTGCTGACGACGGTCCCTTCGAAGACAATGTCGTGACGACCCGAAACTTCGCCGGTGGTTGAGTTAAGACCGTCGGTGCTGAGAGTCCACGTGGCCCGCAAGGCCTGGGCAGGATGGTTCGGTTGAACCGGTGCGGCATGAATCCCAACGCTTCCGATGGAGCAGCTACCGCCGACAACTTGCGTTCCCTCGGTGAGCTCGTTGTTAGGGTTCAAAGCGAAGAGCTGCGAGGTGGCGGGGGGCTTGGAAATGGTGATCGTCAGAGGGGCATCGCCCTTGTTGCAGACCCTGATTTGCTTGTCAACAAGGCCTCCTGCAACCACATTGCCATACGAGACGGTGTAGTTTGAGAGCACAGTCCAGCCACCGGAGCCATTGGAGACTTCGAACGAAACAGCAGGCGGGTCGTTGACGGAAGCACTCAAAGTGAGCACAGCAGTTCCTCCGTTAGACCAGATGGTGATCTTTGACAAGTATGATCCAGGTGTCTCCCTCAAGAAGCGGAGGGCGACTGTCAGACTCTTTCCGGCTTCAAGAGTGGAGCCAACGGTCGGGAAGTTTGTCGATGAGAAACCAGAGCCAAGCCCGCCATCACCGGTAAAGTTGGCGTAGGCGCTAGTGTTCGTCTGCCAGGCAAAACCGGTGAATGTCAAGGTGCCGTTGCCAACATTTTGAATGAGAGCAGACCCCGTGAGACCGTCAGGGGCATCACGTAGGACTAATCTACCAAAAGCAATGTCCGACGGGGTAGCACTCAAAAAGGCGCCCTGCCTGACGACAGTGCCTTGGACGGACACCAGCACGCTAGTTGCGTACTCTGCAGGAGGGCTGATGGAGAGCGTGACAGCGCTAGAAAGGACTCCAGGCACAATCGATACGGCTGGGTTGGAGAGGTCGAAAGTGACGTTCAAGGAGAAAGAAGCCCCTGCAGCGACAGCGCCCTGGGGCAGAGTTGAGTTGGAGCAAGTGAAAGTAGGATCCGCAGAAGTGCAGCCATTGACCTTGGTAAGGGCGACGTTGGCCTTGCAGTTGACAGTCACGCTGGCGGTGGAACCAGCTTCAAGAGAGCCAAAGTCCACTGGGCTGGTGCAGTTGACAGCAGGGTTGACGGGAGATCCCAGAGCCACAAGCCTGTTGTTGTTGACGTTCATGAAGACACGACCATCCCCAAAGACCGGACGCTGGAACTTGTTGCTACCTTGGGTGGAGGGCAAGGTGATGGGAATCATAACGCCGTCCTGAGGAACGGCACGGAAAGCTTGGAGACCGACGTTGACATCCGCAACCCAGACCTGTCGGGTGTTAGTCAATGGATATCTCAAAGGGTGAGGGGAACATTACAATGCCAGTACCAGGCTTGCCGTTGTCAGATGTGATAGTCATTTGGCCAACACCAACGCGACCAGCTCCGACGAAGGAGGCTGATTTGCCGGCAAGGGTGAATTGGGGCGCACCTTTCGCGTCGAAGCCAAGCTTGTACGCAACAAGCGGGCCACCGACAGTGGTCGCGTAGATGTAACCGCCCTCGCCGGGGTAGCTGCCGAATCCGCCGTACAGTGAGAATCCAAGCTCAATTGTCTGGATGATGCCATCGCCGCCGTCAGCCGCCTGTCGAAAACCGCCGAGGTTGTCAGCGTTCATGACGTAGGCTCTGCCCTTCTTTCCAGCCGTGACGCACATTCGGTTGACGCCAGTGCCCTTGAAAACGGTTGGGTCCAGGACGGCGAGTCCCGAAGAACCGACATCGCGGTCACCAGCATCCAGTCCAATGTAGTCATATGGCTGAAAGTAATCGATCAGGCTCAACTTTCCAGTCGACGCTACCTCCATCTTTACCGTGCACTCGTCGAGGGTGGACATGTAGATTCTGCCACTGGCGGGGACATTTCCGTTGGCGTGTCCCTGACCGTTGCCTGCCACGAAGTAGACGTTGTTGCCGATGACGGGCAAACCCATGCCACTCTGCCAAATTCCTGCCTTGCCTCCCGTTTCGGCTTCGAGATCAAGTGGCTGCGGCTTGGGAGCTCCAGGAGCGGCTTCCGTGGCCCACATGCTCACTGGGCCCACGCCGGGTGTCTTACTGACGGACACGAGGTAACCAGTGTAGTTCCAGCGACCGCAGTGAGAGCCGAACGCGGCGACGATGTGGCCGTTGAGCTCGGCCAGAGAGGGTCGCTGCAGGGCCACACCACCGACGAAGTACTTGGCTGGGTCGTTATCGGCATTGATGCCGTCAATCAGGACGGGGAATTTGTCGACATCTTCGAGCGAGGGAATACGAATCGCGTACATCTTGTAGACACCGTTGGCTGTGCCGGAAGTGGTCCCGTCTCGGTAGCCCTTGGAGAAAACGTACATGATGCTTGTCGCGGGATCGATGATGGGGGTACCGGTGATGCCAACCCAGTTCGGGATGTCGCCGCAGTTGCTGTCGGCAGCGGAGAAGGGGGCCTGGAGGGTTCTCTGCTTCAGGATGTTTCCGGTCTTACTGTCGAAGATACGAATGATGTTCATCTCAGAGGCGGTGATGACAAGCTCGGTGCCCCCCTCAGGTGTGTAGACCAAGGGCTTGGCCAACCAGAACTCCTTGCTGTCGGGGGAAGTGAAAGTCCATAAGTTTCTGAAGCTTGAAGAACCGGCAATGTTTGGGTCAAGGTTGTGGTTAGGGAGATAGCCCGATTGAGGCAAATCCTACAACAGTACGTCGTCAGTCCACATCCCATCGTAGTCGGTACAATTCAAACATAGAACCAGTGACTTTGGAGGAGGGACCAGGACTTACAGCATCACGGTATGAATCGGTGGAAGCCAGCGAAGCAACCAGTGCTGGCAATGAAGCCAGCACTCCGATGGACAACCTCATCCTGGCAGACTGAGAAGGGAAAGAAAGAGGGACGAAATGTCTGCCTGGACACAGAAGAAAACCCAAGAGGTGCCTTGAGGAAGTAAAGAGAGCGTGGCACTTGAGAAGGACATGATGAGGATCTGGGGTTGCGCGAGATAATAAACAAAACCCATGATGGCCAAGATTGTGAGCCAAGAGCATGGCACCCCTCAACACGCCAGATGGGGCACAGCCGCGGCCCTTCCGTCGCGGCCGACATCGACCTAGCCCATGGGTCGAACTAGAGCTTCTCCATCGAAGCTAGGCGTAGGCGCAGAACATGCGCTTCATGCACGACCAAAGTGTTTGCTCGCATGGTTTGGCGAGCTGGCAGTCGTGCGTGTGGAGGAAGGTTGTGAAGGGATGGTGCGCACGCCTAGGCTTGTTTGATTAGGGCGAGATATTGAAGACGCCCGAGACAATCCAGGGAAGGCGGGAAAGGCATGCCGAGCGTGGAAGCAGGGGAGAGCTGCTTCTCTCAGCTCTGGCACAGCATGTAGACCACAGGTCAGGGTCGGAGAGAATCGTCCAAAACAGCAACGAGCACAGGCGCAAGCCCAGAGCCCAGTGGAGCGAAGTCAAGAACCGGGAGCCGAGTGTTGTGCATCCGTAGCAAGGGAGGGACTGTGCCCTTGGGAGTTGGCGAGACATGGGGCATCCAGGCTGGCGGATGGAAGCCATGCGACGAGCCAGGGATGATGCGATGGTGGTGTGCTTCAACAAGCAAGGCGAAGCTGGCAGGCTGCCCAATAATTAGCCCAGTGGTCCATCACAAGACGCATCTCATGGATGGAATGCCTGGAATGCGTGGCTGCACGGAGCCGGGGCCGGAGGCCACGATGGATGTGATTCAATTGCTTTGTTGTCTTTGCTGGTCAGGTATCTTTCCGACGCCCGGCGACTAGTCGCCACGAGTAGATTGGGTTGACATTGTTTGCAAGGCATGTTGGATCTGGCCAGGACGAGATCTGCCGTGGGGTGGGCACGTCGAAGACATGCAGAAGAAACAAAGTCGATTGAAGGGGCTCCGAAAAACGAAGCCAACACTAAGGTACGGACGGGAGGGTGGAACAAGCTCCGATGCGCAGGGAATGCAGCTTGGGGAAGAGATTGGGGGCGTCGGGCGCTAGTCTTGATGGAGTAAGGTGTTTACTTAAGCGAGCAGCATCACCTGCAGGCAAGCCCGTCTGCACTCTGCACGGAAGGAGCGCTCCAGCACTCGGGTGCACCTGCACCTTCCTGCAGCACGATGCAAGGGCGGAAGGCACACGGAAGGTGGGCTCGACCGGAGGCAGCTCGCCGCTAAAGCACGCAAGAAATACGGTTGAAAATATGGTTGTGTTAGTGGTCGTTCGCTGCACCGGGTCCTCCTAGCATTAATCCAAATCAGAGAATGATGACGTTGAAAAGACAGGGGTGTAAGCTGTGGACTGTCGATGCCATCGATGCTTGCAAACCCGACTATTGCATTCTGCGACTGAGGTCAGGTGCCATCGTGATCTGGCTAAGCAAGAAGGCAGGAGGGCAAGCACCTTCAGCTCGCCACTGCCATGTTCGAAGTGTGCTCTTTCCATCCTCGCTGAGTCTGGGGCGTCCCTTTCGTCGTTCTGTAGGTAGCCCTTCCATATGCAGAAGGGGCGGGGTGGCGGCCGTACCTGCGTCGCGACTGCAGAGGCAAGTGTCTGTCGATTTCCTCTTTCCCCTCCCTCTTGCTGAATTGGGTGATGACAGCCTCCCTCCGTCTCCTTCTCCTTTGGCATGCCTCTCCTCCAACATGCATCTCGCCGCAGTCGACGAGAACAAACCGCATCCTTCCGTCTCCAGATGATGATCATCCTCACCACCCCTACTTATATTCGATGCCGATATTACCGATGCTCCCTCTGCTCGACGCCAAGCTGAGGGACGCTTGCTTTTGAACATGCTCCACCACGACACAAGGATCGCGATAGATCCCAAACATTGGACTCACCACGCCGCATGGCCGAATTGCGATAACCTGCTCTCGTACGACTGCTTACTTGGCTCTCGCGTCCTCCGCCTCAACGCACCACACTTCCCTGTCTCCAAAGTCGATTTGGGCATTTGAGCCCAAGGCACGGCACGGCCGATTCTCTCCCTGCGTCTGGTGCCTGAGCTGCTGCAGTGCAAGGACATCCTGCACCAGACACCGGTCATCCCATCGCTTCGTCCAAACCAGCTCGTCGGGTCTCCTGTCATCCCATCTCTTCAGTCTTCCCTTGGCAATCGTCCACCACCATCACCGCCCGCGGTTTCCTCACACGTCTTCTTTGTTCGTCTTGCCCGTATTCATCTTCAAGAGCCTCGAGAACTACCAACTGTTGGTTGGCCCCCACGATGAAAAAACAGATCGGCAATCAAACTCAGGCCACGGACCAACGATGCGGCATGTTGGGCACGGCTCGCCTGGGTAGCCGCCACTATCACACTTGACGGCGGTCGCGATGCCGATTCTAGACCATCTCTCTCTGGAGTCTGAGCACCATAGACAAAACCTGAGCTTGCCTCATCATCGAGAGATGGACTGCGTCATGATTAAACCTGGCCGAATTCTCTGTTTCCCTTGATTGCACCCCACGTGCACTCAACGAGGAAGACGTTGAGTGGCATGCTTTGCTTCAGCCCCCAAGATCCACAGCTCCGCCCTTGCCGGTCTCGAAGTCCGTTTTGGTGGGGATTGACCTGACCAACGTTCCTGTCCATTGGAGGCTTTTTGCATCGACAAACATCCGTCAGTAAGCTGCTGTTGGTTTGCGAAAGAAGGGAAAATTTTCTACTCGGAAACGCTAGCTAAGCGCCTAAAAATAGGAGATGACGGGAAACGTTCCATCTGCCGGTACCCTAAAAAAAACTCTTCCCGTCGGTCTTCAGGTCTACCAGTCTAGCGCAATGCGCCGGTTGCCATCGATTCAGCGGCGTCTCTGCCCTTTTCATCATTGTTTTGTCGGCTATGGTTCCATGACATACAACGTTAGCCCTTGTCCCCTATGGCTGCGATTTTGCCAGTTCCGATTTGGTTCTTCGATGGCTAACACAGGATCAGCTTCGCACCACATCCACCTGTCGAACCGCCGACACGTCCATCACCGAGAACCAGCTCCGTGTGAGACGCGGGGGCCATCGGGAATTATCAGGACCCTGGTTCGTCGCCGTCTACACTCTTCAGGCGTTGCAGATTTCTCTAGGAGACTGTCAGTGGATCAAACCACCTGTGTGCTCTCACAGCGCCAGTCAATAGAGCCTCGTGAGCATCTGCAACGCCAGCCTATCCCCGCAAAAAGACGTTCGGCGGACCCGCGAGTCAGGGGGATCCGCATAGAAAAGACCCCTTTTTGCAGTAGAATACGAGCAGGCTGAGGACTAGCGTCCTCGGCAATGCAGTCAATGCCTTGGATCCACTGGTCATGTTCAGAAAAAAGATGGAAGTTCTTCGTCTGCTGCGTTGGTTACGATCAGTCTTGCCCCCATCATCTTCAACGACCACATCATTGAGGGGCTTGCAGCGACTGTCACTGATGCGCTGAAGAAGAAGCGCTGTCGCTCACCTTTGTTGCCTGTCTCGGGAATCGCAAACGAGGTCAGGAAGGTGCGGTGATGCTGGCACGCCTTGGCCTCGTAGGGCTGCTGGCCAGCTGCGCCTCTGGTGCCTATGTCCAATGGCAAACGTGCGACGAAGTCTCATCCAGAAACGATCCTTTCGCCCCTACGAGCCTCGATGCGAAGTTAAGACAACTAGATGACGGAGATGAGCGACTATCATTTCGGGTAGGGCGATGGATCGAAGAAGAAGAATGCGAGGAAATCGCCCGAATGATGCCCGCAGCGGCTCTAGAAATCCAGATGCTGGGACGATCATCGGCCTTCAGCGCAAAGACTAATACGACATGCGCGAAGCTCAACTTTGCCAAAGGCTGGAAGTCGACCATGCGAAACCCGGCGAGTCTGTACGTCAACTTCGATACCGATATTGGCCGCCTGCCTCCATTGTCGACATTCCATGCGACGCTGCATCTGCAGAGCAACGACTCCGAAGAGATCAGCTGCCGACAAGCAAACATAACTCCTACGCTCGATCCGACCACGATATCTGCAATTGGCTACACGACATGGGGCGTCTTCTTCTTCGTGTTTCTTGTCGGCGTCTTGCGCTCCGTCTACAGTGCCCCAGTGACGCTCGACGAGGAACAGCGTTCCATACGGACGGTCCTTCCGAACGTCGGCGATTGCTTGCAGTACATCCAATTTGTCTTTTTGACTGGTGGGCTCAGCCTCAGGTATCCCGGCTTCTACCAGCCTATGGTCAGCAACTTGAATTGGTTCTCGCTTTTCGTGGTTGGGCCTGTTACACACGGGGTGACTTATGACAAAGCCCAGGATGGAATCTACGTCATGAATGGCACGTATGGCGGTACATTTGGTCTGGAGTTGATGACCCAAATTGCAGGTGCTCCCATGACGATGGATACCTGGGTCAATATGGTTGTTCTCATGGTGATTGTTGCTCTCGGCTGCGCCGTGGTGATCGAGGTCGTGTGGCTCGTGAACCGTCACCGAAATTCCGATGGCGAGGTTTCTGAATCAACTGTCGGCTTGCGACACACTTTCAGCCGTGTCCTTCGAATCATACTGTCCTACTTCATGTTGCCCTTGGCGGCCCTCTCCTTTTATCAGCTGGACCACGCCTCGTTCTTGCCAGCATACCATACGTCCCTCGCAGTGGCGCTCATTGTTGCCATGATGGGCGCGTTCATTTGGCTTCTCCGTCAAATTCCTACGCACAGTCTTGGCGTCTTGATTTTCGACAGCACGAAGCGGTATAGACGGATCGCGCCTACTGAGGACTTCCGACGACATGACCAGACCTTCATTCTCATCCTATTCGTTTTGGTTTTCGTTCGTGGCGCGGCCATCGGCGGGTTGCAGATCTCGGGCCCGGCGCAGCTGGCCGTCCTTGGATCATGCGAACTTCTGCTCTTAGCGAGTATTGCCGGGTTCCAGGCCTATTCTACTTTTTCCATTGGCGCGATTGCGGCGACCATGCGCCTCTGCAGCTTAATATTCATGGTGTCGTTCCTGCCGGACCTTGCGGGACACGAGACGAAAAGCGCCATCGGCTACTTGCTTCTGGCACTGCACACCGGCATGCTTCTATTGGGCTTCTTTGTCCCGGCGGTCTGCGACCTTGTTGCGCTGTGCCAGACGTGGTGGAAAGCTCCAAGGCCTGACGTACGTTGCCTGTCTACTTTTGCAATCTATCATCTGACAATATATAGGTATATGGACTCCGACAGCTTAGACGTCGTCAGGTATCGAGAACAAACCTTTCTACAATGTACGACGCCGACAGCTCCTACGGGTTGCCCTCTGAGCACGACGCATTCGGGGAACCTGCTGCTGGCTACCTTCACCCAACGTACCGCCCTGATAGTCCCAGCACATTGCGTCTGAATTCATCAACTACATCAAGTCGATACTATCGCCCTCCTCGCTCACCATCGCGTGGGACGTCCATCTCTTCTTCCGATTACTATCGAAGATCCGAAAGCATTGCGTCGCCAGCTTCGTCTGCTTACCCACCATCGAGAAGCACATCCGCATCCACCACCCTGGCAGAGAAGCGATCCATCCAGCGTTCCGAGTCCATCATGTCGCCGGGTAGGCTATCAGAGGAATCAATAGAGGAAGAGGATTCAGCCCATGAGCCTCAAACATCATCGACCAAGGCCGATGGAAGGCCACTTGGTCCACGATGGAGCGACTACTCATTCCGCGAAGCCGACCTATACTACGGCGCCCCTAGACCGGCGCCCGCCACACGAGCATCTGAAGAAATTCCCCGCCCTCCTGCTCCCAAGCCATCACTTCGATCTACTTCTGGTATTTGGGCCAAGTTCACTGGCCAGCCAAGTATAGAGCACGGATTTCAGGTCGTGAGACCACCTCGACCTGAGCAGGGCTTTGTTGTTGTCAGACCTAACAGGCCAAGCAACCTCAGCAGTGGCTCAAGCTCGAGCGATGGAGAGACGAGATGATGTTAATCATATGAGGCGGCACACGAGAATCGTTGTTTACACAGACGGTTGACGTGACGTCAGTTTCCTAATATCCTGGGACAATGCATCGGAAGGGGCGCAACAGAGCAGAATAGCTCCAGATGAAATTCAGTACATATTTAAAATCCAGCCGATAAACATATTAATCAGGCGTCTGCATTCCCATTTACTTCAACCGTCGTCACTCAATTTACGTACTTGCGCATCCGTGAGGATCTGCACGTCTCAATCCAAGGTTATCTATGGCTGCTAGGCAGTGCTTGACTTGCTGGGAGCAAGATGCGAATTCAACAACATCACTACTGATGGATGAGCTGAACTTACATGCACGTCTTGTCAATCGAACTTCGTCCCATCACCTCAATCGTTCTAACCCAATTTGGGATAAAATATCCAGCTGGGGCCATGATGTCGTGTCAGCCCATTTTTGGCAGGTTGTCAAGCAGCTGTGGCCATGGCATCCTGGGGCTCCATCTCAGTGGCGACCGGCGCGCGCGCGGCAGATCAGCATGGATGTGGACTGCCTAAACAGGCGCGGTCCCCGGCGACGGGGGTCCCATTGCTTTTGATGATCCTTCCCGCGGCTGTCCTGAGATGGAGATGCAGTGCGGAATGATGCCGGAACGCATTTGCTGATGAGAGTAGGCGATTAAGATGAGTCTCTGAACATCTTTGGGCTGTGCTGAGAACGTTGACGTGCTGAACTTTGGATTCTTAATTTTTAGGATGACTTCGACCTCTCTCAACGAAGTATAATGGACCCTTTGGACTCTTTTCATCGCTTCCAACATCGAGCCAACCCAGATCAGATCTGCCGCGGCTTGCGGATTCCATCGGGGGTTCCGATCTGAGCAATCAACATGGAAGGTTGCGACGACCCTCCCGTCGACAGGGAATCGCCCATAAGAGAATCGGCTCACCCAATCCCCATCTCATCAGCCCATTGCCCATCGACTGAAAAAAATTCACAGCAAAGCCAGAACTTGGCTGGGGCCCAATTCCGTTTCCCCACAACCCGTTGATGTTTTGTTGGTGTGAAAGGGGGCCAGGCCAGGGACCACTGGAAATCTTTCGACAACGCCATTTCTGCTTAAGTGAGCGCAGAAACCGAAGCAACAGCGATCGCTCTCGGAAGTATTTTGCCAATGCCGAACGCGTTTTCCGATCTCTCTTGTGTCTCTCTGTTCCACTCCATGCATGCCAATCCTACCTAATCCTCAACACTGGCTCCCCTTTCAATCACTTAAACTTTTTTCACCTTTCACTCTGATCCTTCGCGCGTCCCTTGTGTCTCAGCACCCTCTTTTTGGCGCTTTTATCGCGGCTATTGCGACTGCGACTCGTCGGAACCAGCAGCAGCACACATAAACAAGGTTTCGGCGCTTGTTGCTCTAAGTCAGACCCGGCTCGGATGACCTGGCCCGGCAATGTCTTCGGCGCCGAATGAGAGCCCAAAGGGGCAGAATGAGAAAGACGCCGCCGCCGCCGCCGCCGCACAAGATGCCTCCGTTGTCGTCGCTGACAACGGCAGCACCAACGACAGCCCGCCAACGTCGTCTTCACAAACATCACCACCGGCAGAAAAGCCCGCGGCCCCTGCTGGGCCGCCAAACGGTGGTCTGCAGGCATGGCTCCACATTCTCGGGTCGTTTCTGTTGTACTTCAACACATGGGGTAAGTCTGGGATGGACGGCCGCGATGCAACACCATCGTGAGCCGGCGGGCGCATGTCCGCCTTCACAACGAATGAGCCCTGGCTAACACAACTTCCCAGGTCTGATATCCAGCTTCGGCGCCTTTCAGGCGTACTACGCGTCTGATATCTTGCGCGACAACACCGCGTTCCAGATCTCGACCATTGGCTCTCTGCAGAACTTCCTCATGGTGTTTCTGGGCTTCATCATCGGACCCATCTTCGACCTCGGCTACTCGCGCTACCTGCTCATCATCGGCTCGCTGCTCGTTCTCGTCGGACTCATTCTGCAAGCCTTCTGCCAGAACCTGTGGCAGTTCCTCCTCTGCCAGGGCCTCATCATCGGCATCGGGACAGGCTGCCTTTCCACCCTCGGCGTCGCCCTCCCCTCGCAATGGTTCTCGACAAGACTGCCCCTCGCCAACGGCATCGCGGCCAACGGTAGCGGCGTTGGAGGGTAAGCATCATCCCCGACTTCCTATCCGTCACCTCAGCTAACAAACCTCCCAGCCTCGTCCTGCCCGCCCTCTTCCGCGCGATGCAGCCCAAGATAGGCTTCCGCTGGACCGTCCTCGTCTTCGCCCTCATCTCCCTCGTGACCCTCGGCGTCTCCCTCCTCGTCATCAAGACCTCCTCCCTCAAGACGCCGCCCGCCCGCCGCCCCTGGATCGACCGCTCCGTCTTCCGCGACGCGCCCTTCCTCCTCTTCCTCGGCGCCTGCTGCCTCCTCTTCCTCGGCATGTACACCCCCTACGTCTACGTGCAGTCCTACGCCCTCGACAACGCCCTCTCCTCCCCGGACGTCGCCCTCTACCTCCTCTCCATCCTCAACGGCGCCTCCATCGTCGGCCGCATCGTGCCGAATTTCATCGTGCCCTACACCGGCATCCTCAACATGATCTGCGCCGCCGTCTTCGTCATGTCCATCGCCGCGTTCTGCTTCGCCGCGACAGACAGCCAGGGCAGCTTGATCGCGGTCACGGTCGTGTACGGCTTCTTCGCGGGCACGTTCTTCGCGCTGCAGCCGACCACGTTTGTGCGGCTCACGGCCGACAAGAGCTACATGGGCACGCGGTTCGGTATGGCCTTCACGGTCATGTCGGTGGCCATCTTGTTCGGGTCGCCCATTGCGGGCGCGCTGTCGAGGTCGCATGGGTATCTGAGCGGGTGGATCTGGAGCGGGTGCTGTCTGGCGGCGAGCGGGGTCACGATATTTGTTGCGAGGGGGGTTTCGGGTGGGTGGAAGGTGAATAAGGTGGTTTGAGGTAGCTTCTGTCCGTTTATTGTAGTATAACATCAAATTCTTGGCGGATATTGATTTAATTCTATGCGTAACTTATGACGGTTCGAGAATGGATTCAACTAAACCTACAAAGATGAACAGTCCAAATCCTTCAGCCATGTTTGTCTCTGCCTTCGTGGATGAACAAACTGCCGCAAACGAAACCGAGCACACCTTCCAAAAAGTCGAGTTGCCCGAGATCCATCCATCACCAGCCTCGCCCACGCCCAGAGATAGAGACGCATAAGGCCACAATGTAGGAAGGAGGCTGTACCAATACCAAACACCGAAGCTACCTACCGAAGGCTACCTGGTCATATCCGTGACTACCCGGAGATCGATCTGCTTTCGGGCCGTGACCAGGGCCCCTGCCGCAGCCCGGCAGTTTTTACCAAGCAAGGCACGCCAACAACACAGCCCGGAACAGGCTCGGAACAACACCGTTCGATTCGATTTGGGATGTGACGACAGACCTGCCTCTGATGGTGCCTGTGGGGGCGCGGGCCATGCATAGCATCTTATCAGAGGGCATTGAAGGGGGCGGGTACGTCGTTCGGTGGGAGCCGCCGCTACACTGACTCGTCCCAAGGCTCCGCAAGGTGCAACCCGGCCGTTGTTTCTTCAGCAGCTTCGATATCCCGCTCTGAGTTCTGGCTGATCTTTTGCCGGGGGAGGCATCCGTACCCGCGCTGCATGGAGCCAGGTTTTTGCCTGGGTACGCAGAATGAAGCTTGTAACGGCCGTGTAAGGTTGCACTGGCAGGGCTGCCCGTCAAGCTTGATGGGTGATGGCGCAAAGTTTCTAGAATATGGCGGGGGATGGTGGGAGGGATGTGCTGTGTAGGTATGTTCCTGCCCCTCCCCTTTCCTTGTCGTCGTCGACTGCCGGGAAGGGAGTATATAAGGCGACCAGTCGAGGAACGCAAAGTGCAAGGAGGTCGCGTTCTCGGGAAGCTTGCTGCGACTTACAAGATCTGAATATCTATTGAAGAGGTCTTTTGATTGTGGTGAACTTGGAATCTTTAAGGTGAAATTTAAGCCAGTACTATCATTCTTGTGAAAGATGTCGATCAAGACAGTCGCCGTCGTTGGTGTAAGCTAAACCCTCCCCCTCCCCCCTCTCCCCCTCCGCTTCAACGCGCTCACACCCGCCTCCCACAGGCTTCAGGCCTCGTCGGCCTACGCGTCGTAAAGTCCCTCCAGGACCACGGCTTCACCGTCACAGCCATCTCGCGCACCTCCTCAACAGCGACGTTCCCCGCAGGCGTCGCCGTCCGCAAAGCCGACCTCTCCTCGGTCGAGTCGCTGACCGCCGCCCTCGCAGGCCAGGACGCCGTCGTCTCGGCCATCTCGACCGTCGCAGCCGTCGTCAAGGGCGCGCAGGACCCGCTCGTCGACGCCGCTGTCGCGGCCGGCGTGAAGCGCTTCATCCCCTCCGAGTACGGCCTCAACACGCGCAACCTCAAGGGCGAGATCCTCGGCGACTGGCTGATTGCCAAGACCGAGGCGGTGGACTACCTGATTGAGAAGGCGAAGGCGCATGAGGGGTTCACGTGGACTGGGATTGGCACGAGTCTGTTCTTTGACTGGGTGAGTTATCCTCTTTTGCTGTCTTTGAGGGACGAGCTGGGCGGGATGGGATTTACTGACGATCGACGGGCAGAGCATCACGCGCGGCATCTACGGCATCGACCTCGCGAGCAAGAGCATTGACATCTTCGACTCGGGCAACCAGAAGGTGTCGACGACGTCGCTGGTCTTCCTGGCCGAGGGCATCGCGGCCGTGCTGAAGCACCCCGACGAGACGGCCAACCAGTACATCAACATCATCGAGTTCGACGTGACGCAGAACCAGCTGCTCAAGCTGTTTGAGGAGGAGACCGGCGCCAAGTGGACGGTGAACCACAAGACCGCCGACGAGGTCAATGAGGAGGGCAAGAAGAAGCTGGCGGCCGGCGGACGGTTCCCGTTTGAGGAGTTCTTGATCAAGTACCACTTCGCCGACGTCCCTGGTCACTCTATTCCGGAAGAGGGCAAGGCGAATAAGGTGCTGGAGCTGCCGCAGAGCGATCTCAGGGAATTCGTGAAGGGGTACATCAAGGAGAACAGCAAGTAAAAATAACTAGTTAAAATGAAGAAAGAGTGGTTTAGCAAAATATCAATAAGTTAAAAGTTAGTCAAGCATCGAATACATTGGTGATAATTGAGTGCAAGTTAAAATCTACTTCACGATTCAAAACGGGCTTCAAGGTGTGGGTATGGGCAGTACATGTATGATTGTTGAGCACTAACAGACCGTTATCGTCGAGTGGGGCGCTATTCACAACGATTTATCGCACCAAGCCCAATCCATCGAGCAGTTTGAGTCCATGGTGTGAATTGGCGTGAGCAGGCTGCGGCTGCTGCCTAACCGCGATTTAGTTTCCTCTTTAGAAACAAATCACGTGGGGTATTGGTCTTGTCATCTACCAAATGTGTATGTTCTCCAACGACATAAGTAGTGCCGTCGCGCATCAGTGGCTGACACAGATCTAGCATCTCATTCGCTCACACTCTCACGTTATCTCATACCTTCTTTGGAGGGCCTCTCTACATCTTCCATCGTTCAGCAACTTGTTCATCGCGCTCTCTGTTGAGCTCGATCCTGTCATGGCGGACACCGCTCCCAAAGTTGCCGAAAAGGAACGCCGTGAGGCGCCGGAGTCCGTCGAAACAAAGGCGAGACTGCTGGCGGAGAGAATCAGGATGAGCAAGCACTTCATTGCGTTTACAGGAGCCGGCATCTCCACGTCTGCTGGTCAGTCCACGGCTGAGATGATTCTATGGTGGGACGAAATCCTACAAACGTCTTCTAACGAGAGAGCGATCTAGGAATACCGGACTTCAGAGGCCCAGAGGGTGCATGGACGCTCAGAGCTCAAGGGAGACAGCGGGTCGGGAAGACGACGAGCACACTACAAGCTATCCCGACGCCCACTCATATGGCCCTGGTTGAGCTGCAGAACCGCGGGCTGTTGAAATACCTAGTCAGCCAGAATTGCGATGGGCTGCATAGAAGAAGTGGCATGTTGCCGGTAAGTTGAATTGGTAGCGTCGATGAAAACATTTGTGGGCAGCTAAGCTATAATCATGGCAGGAGCGAATTTCAGAGCTGCATGGAAACAGCAACAGGGAGTACTGCAAAGATTGCGATAAGGAATACCTTCGCGGTATTTATATTCTCCTTCCATGTTGTGTTGGTTGCATAACTGAATACTCTCAGATTTCCGAGCTGTGTCGACATTTGAAAAGTCCATTCATGACCACCGCACCGGACGCAAGTGCGCGAGGTGCGGCGGCGTCCTCCTCGACACCATCATCAACTTTGGTGAAAATCTCTGGGAGGAGCCTCTCTCACGCGCGCGCGAGAATGCAAGCAAGGCAGACCTATGTCTTGCTTTGGGTTCCTCACTGACCGTCAGCCCTGCAAATGAGATCCCAGAAACGGTCGGGAGGAAGAAGCGCGGCCGGACTGCTGCCGGTGGGCAGCTTGCAATCTGCAACCTCCAGAGCACGCCGATAGACGAGCTGGCGCAGCTACGGGTATGGTCCACCACGGACGACCTCATGATACAAGTCATGAAGAATCTCGACATACCGATCCCGGTGTTCATACTCCGTCGCCGGCTGTTGATAGAGTTTCAGACGACCGGGGACGGAAGGCACCAAATTACCGCCTGCGGTGTTGATGTTGACGGGACACCGGTGACATTTGTTCAGTCGGTCAAGCTTGCGTACAACAGGCGCGTTGCGCGATCTGAGCCCTTCGTCATCAACTTCCGCGGCGATATCGAAGTAGGGGCGCAGTTTGAGCTCGAGCTTGAGTTCATGGGCCACTATGCAGAGCCGAACTTGATGGTTACGTACCACTACACGGGCAAGATGGATGAAAAGGTCCTGCATTTACTTGAGTACAATCCGGCTACCGGAGAGTGGAAGACGAGTAGGCTGGTTGAGGACGCGGCAGCTGATGTTCAGCAAGAGGGTGCTGGTGATGTCGAAGCGCATGAAGATCACTCAATTATTGATCTTACGTCAGATTGAGCATGTTTTGTAGTGAGTAAGAAAAGGTGGGCTGCATTTAAAAGTAAACTCATGTGTATCTTGGCCTCTTGGGCAACAAATATCCCACTCGAAACTGATTTAAAACTACCTCTCGTTGCCAGTGTGCACGAGAAGAATAGTCCCTTGGGCGGTTGGTGACGGCATCTTTGTTGCTATCTGACTGACAACCAAGCACCCTGAATTCCAAATAAAATTCGTTGGAGTGTTCTATCTTGTCCAAAACTTCTTGCCGCTTCAATATATTAAGGCAAAGGTGAGCCATCACGGCCCGTCGCTTAAAGTCCAGAACTTAACGTCGTGAATGCCACAGAGAGCTGAACGTCTGGCCCCGTCACTGCAGTCGGAACCCATCATGTCACGAACGGCAAGTTGCTTGGCCTTGGAACATGGAGGGTCAGCGGGGGACGCATCGTTGCAATTTGTTTCAGGGTCCTTGGATTTGCTTAAATTCGCAGCGAGTGTATTGAGAAGCACGTTTGTCTCCCTCGAGCACCAACGTATGTTACTCATTGACAATCAAATTTACCTTATCCCAGCAAAACCTCTTTCCATATTGGACCTGGCGAATAGCTGTGGTCGATGTGTGAAAGCGAGAGATGACCCAATCCCTTCCGTTCCGCTACTTTTTTGCTCTGGTCCAAAAGCATAACATTGTAAAATATGGACAGGCCATCTGAAGAATCCTCTTCCGTATGCTCCGATAGTAGAATGACCTCAACGGGATCGTTGGAATCATTGAAGGCTACTGACTCCAAACCATCAACCCTAACACTACCGTAACTGCGCCCATCCTTTCCAAAGAACGAGCCAATCCCACCAATTGCATCCCCAATGGATATTCGGAAATACACCGCAACAGTCCAGAACTGCAGAATTGGATATGAAATTGGTCCAGCTGACTGGAACAGATCGTGCGTTGGGTTGGTTTTACTGACATCTAGATTATAGCGAGAGCAGAATCTGCCTTGGTAGGAAGAGTCTGATTGAGCCGTTGTTAGCGCGTACCGACCGCCCGCGTCGTAATGATTGGGCAGTAGATGGACCCCATCCAATACAGTCCTCTTGAACCACACGATCCAGTGTCGTGTATCGTTCCAATTGTTGAATAGATTGTCGTACTCAAACGTGATTTGCTCGTCCCACCCTGCCCGAGACCAGCTAGGAAATCCCCTACGGCGTCTCAAGAAACCGCCCCCGGAAGCGCTCCTGAAGAGTATGAAGTGACCTAGCGCACCTGCTGGAATCCCTTGCACCATGTCCTGTCTCAAAGTCTCTCCGACTCGTCGAATTGTACCTGCCAGAGCCCAAACTGCGTCTTGCGGATTTGTAAACACGCGAGCCGTGTAAATTTCCAAAAGTCGGGAATAATCTCGAAGTGGATTCGCTAGCTTGAGTACTTGCTTCAATTCTCGGGGTTGATACCACTCCTCATTCTCGATATTGACAACTGGATGGTGCTCATCACCAATGCACCTCTCAGAGATGTCAAGATGCCGACAGCGGAAAAACGTTTCGTCTTCGAAAAAGTACAGCGCTCGACGACTCAAAGCGTGCTCCTGAAATCTACACATAAGAACGTACGTTTCTCGTTCATGAAGTTCGAGCTGCACAAAAGCTCATATCTACTCACGTCCATCCTCTAGTATGATAGATCGTGAACTGAAGCATTCTGTCCAAGTCCACCTTGATCATCATCTGAACGCCAGGCTTGACCTCGACAGACTCGTTTAGGGTTCGACTGTTCTTCTGCACTCCGGGAAGACCGGAATTAGCGTTGCGCCCGCAGGCAGCAACTACTGTCAACCAAGATCGCTCAAAGATGTTATCCATCGTGTCAATTCCGCGACGAAGATCACCAGGATCATCTTGGACGAGACAAAGAGCATCCACCCAGACATGATTCACTCCGAGCTTTTTAGCAAGCTCAAAGGTGTCGGTGACTGTCTTCGGGAGGCTCGACCAGGCGGCGCGGAGTCCATTTGGCAGTCGCATTTGTTCAAAGATGGACTTCGTTAATCGGATGCTCCTAGCCCCACCCCACACATAGCTCAAACCGATGTAAGGAGGGACCTCTGTGACTTCCACAAGGCGGCATTCCGTGATGTCAATAAGACGTAGAACCGCCAATCCAGGGTATGCTTTCGAAAATGGGACGTTCTCCATGCCACACCCCTCCGTGTGTTTTGTCTCGCAGGTGTAGATCCATCGTCTAATTCTCTCGTAGTCGATGCATGGGTCAACTGTAGATCGAAGGAAGCGTGGCTTGCCGATAACTCCCAATTCTCTTGAGTCCCCCGTGAAGCAAATAACGCATCTTCGAATGCCATAGATGTAGAAAGCCCCTCCGCCCTCTGGCCCGATGTTCTTGGACCAAACCACATTCACAGGGTTCCGCCTGCTGGTGGCCACTCCATCATCCGCCGTAACAACATGATCTTGATGAATTGCCTGCGCCACCAGCTGACAGAAGGGGCATTTGCTGTTGATGACTCTGTCAAGATCGCCCAAGTCGAACCATGTGTTGTGGAGAGCATCCTGCCCAAGAATTGCGGGGTCCAAGGGTATATCTCCACAACAAACGCATAGATTGTGCATCGAAGCAACTTTCAGAAGCTTCTAATGAGCTGGTCAATCAGCGCCTGGTTTCCCGTCGTCTCTGATTGCCAAGTCGTCGCTTCAAGTTGATGAGGGGAAGACTCATGATTTTTGCCGGCTGGATCGGAGACTGGGAACATACAAAAATACATCTCACCGCCTGCCTATCAAATCCATCATATTGACGTAATGGTCAAAATCATTGGGGGCATGCCTGGCTTGGACAAAAAACTCACCCCTCGAGTGAAGGTCATGCATAGCAGCTCAATCACCAAGTAATGAGACCAATTTGTGCGTGAGCAAAGTTGATCATGCTATCAAGTCTGATAGCTTCGTCGCAATCAATTCCGAAAAAGGCCCGGTCCTTTGCGGATACCCCAAACTGACAGCGATCATCAGACGACGATCATGACCAATGAGGGTAATTATCAGTCAAATTCAAGTCGCCAGAGCCGTTACATTTTAGCTTTCGGCCCCTCATCCCGGCACCACTGCCGCTGAAGATACGTGGCTAGAGCGGGGCGTCGGACGAGTAAGCCACGGAGGCCATCTCCGACGACGCCAGATTTTCAGTAACATAAAGCTGCACGCCGGTGAACTCTCAACATCGAATGAGAATCGTTTTGGAAAAGCGCTATCGAAAGCATTGTCGTTGAGTCGAGGTCATGGGTATCCCTACGGAACTAGTTGGCAGTCTCCCCCGACCGGAGGCGTTGCAAAAGACATACGCAGACTACGACGCTGGCAAAATCTTCAAAGGTCAACTTGAGAAGGCTCAAGATGCAGCGGTGAAAGACTCGATCGATCGGTTGAAACAAACCGGCGAGACCTTCGTCAGCGATGGTGAACAGCGAGCAAGCTCTTTCGCGACGTATCCGATCACGGATACGTTGAACGGAACAGGTCTTGCCGAAGGTCAGAAACTCACTCACTTCTCTCACAACCATCACGAAAATACTTTATAGCTGAAGCCCGTTAGGACTTGCTGGAGATGGCCAATTGTTCGCCTACTTTGACGACGGCCACCACCGCCAGCTTCCCCGCCTCACACAGGGCCCGTTTAGGTACAAGACTTATGCGTACGAAAACTTCAGAAAGTCACAGGCATTTTCTGGTGGTCATGAGATGAAGACCGCTGTCATTGCCCCGAGCATGCTTTACCTCTTGTATCCTCTAAAAGGCGACATTGAGGGGTACAACAGGGAGCAGTTCACTCATGATCTGGTCAAGGAGTGTGAGAAGGACATCCGGGGATGTTTTGCAGCTGGGGCGAAGAGAGTCTCAATCGACTTTACCGAGGGCCGTAAGTGAATTGAATACTGGTTTTTTGGAAGCAGGCGCTAACAACGGCTCAGGATTGGCGGCGAAGAAAGACCCTAGAAACCCCTGGACGAATGAGGATCTGCTTCAAACGTTCGTGGACCTTATCAATCAAGTCCTCGCCAATTTTACTGCCAAAGAGCGGGCAAACATCGGGCTTCACACTTGCCCCGGTGGTGACTGCGACTCTGTCCACTCTGCTGACGTGCCGTATCATTCACTTCTTCCCTCACTTTTCAAGATCAACGCAGGTTTGTGACTTCATGCCTCGAGTACTCGAGCATCATCATACTTCATACTGACAAACAAAGGATACTTCCTGATACAACTATCCACTGAGAAGGACAAGCCAACAGTTTGGAAGGAAATTGGGCAGAATATTCGCAAGGATGCCGACGGCGTGAAACAGGTTGCCTTCATCGGCGTCACAAACCCGCTAGACCCTCGAGTTGAGACTGCGGAGGAAATTGCGGATGACTTGTGCGAAGCAGCGAAGTACATCCCGGTTGACCAGCTTGGTGCCACTGATGATTGTGGCTTCAGTCCGTTCAGTATCGACCTTAAGCCAAAGTACGTCAAGGGCCCGGACTTTGCGAGGGATATTGCCTTCGAGAAGATTGCGAATCGGGTCAAGGGGGCGAAGATTGCCTCTGAGAGACTTGGTGTATAGATAAGTATTGTACAAGGAACGTGTTGTCTGTACACTAACGAGAATACCTCTTGTCGCTGAAGGGGTCTTTATATAACGTACCTGTTGTCAACAACGTAGGAACATGCCAATCGAGTGGCATGGTAAGCTTTAGCACATAAAACTATGAATCCTGCATCAATTGGATCACAACCCTCTCACTCAGACGCCTGTTCCTCAAGTCCTGACCCCGACAAGAAACTAAACGTTGCTCGTCACTGTCGTAATATACCTGAGTAATATACGGGGGGTTCTGATGGCGCAGGAAACACCCAAATAGCCTTTAGACCACAACAATGTCGGATGCTAGATATTTAAGACGACATCTCCGACAAATGTGTCTTGAATATCCGTACGTACAAAGCTGTGTAGCCGCGGAGATACTCTAGGCATGAATACCATTTGGACACCCATGGTGTCACGAAAAGCGTTGGATTGCAATTGCGAGATGTATGAGAAGCTTCAAATAATCCAAGCTTATATGTGGCCTTCAATGAACACTCCATGCAGAATGGCAAGCAAAGCAGGTTGAATAGAGCACAAAATTCTTCAAGCAGGAATCTCCTACAGAGCCCAGGGGAAGTGCAGCTCCGAGAACCGACATCCCAGAGCACCAAACAAAACTCATGCATATTTAGTCAATCGGAAGTAATTCACTAGAAACCAAGCCCAAGATCAAAGTTGTGTGAGATCCGCATAACGAAGCAAGGAGGAGAGGGAAACTGCAACCTTCGATTACATGTGTGCGTCGCAGCCCTCCCGACAAACTCAGATCACATAATCTTAGACCTCTTTCTCACGATCCTCGTAGTATTATAAGTCAATACCGTGGAAGACTTCAGGAGCAGAGATGCGAGCATGTTGGTGTCTAAATCAAGATGGTTTGGTAAACCAGAACCTCTGACGATGAATAATGGTTGAGAACTTGAGTCGCACTGATGCTCCACCAGAGCGGGGTTTCCATGGCCTATACTTATATTTAGATTTGAGATCCTACCATAGATCAGCTCTTCTATCTATTTGAATGATCCAAGTTGGCATTGCTGGTCTATAACTACCTTAATTATAGCCGACGTGTTGAGTATACTTTTGCTCGTCACGAATCGTTCGGCGTTTTGCATTCCGTGTAATCTGCTACCTCAATTACCTGATGTGACAACATCTGGAAATCCTGCATGCCGCTAAATCTTTGAAGGCAAACCCTGCTGTGAAGGGACACCGAGGTAACTTGAGATGAGGAGGAATACTGTTGAAACGACATGGTTACTAAACACCAGATTTTTGGTATGATTACATTGGGAGGTTTTTCTGGCCCAACCCAGAGGCGAGGAATCCGGAGACTTCAAGAGAAACACTAAAGGTAGGTTGCGCATTACCATCCGAGATGTGGTGCATGAATTGTGTTGTATTAACCTGTCTGATACTGGAAACGACGAAGTTTTATAGAGGTTGTGCGCTGTTTCATGAAGCCAACATTTAGGTGGATGGTTGCGATCAGGCCAAAAGGCTTTCTAAGAAAGTAATTCACTCATTCATCCGCATAAATGACCTCCCATGAGCATGCTCGTATCTTAACACAAACGGAATGGCCACCCACGAGGCGCATTTCAGCTTAGATTTACAACGACAGCTAGAAGCCAAGTCAGTGACGTGTCTGCAGCTTAAAACGCAGCTGTGTGACCTTGGGCCGGCATCCCTTGCCCTGAATGCGTTGGAACGAATACACTCCAAAGGTCAAGGCAGAACAGAGGTAAAAGACAGCATAGGCCTTCTGTAGGGGCTCACATCATAAAACGCGAGAAAGTTACATCCGGTCATTCGGAGGGAGGTATTTGCTTCCCGGGCCCTGCCCTTGCCAACAACCACCCCAGAAATCACATTGGGCATACAGGTCTGAAGGTCTCAGATTCATGGGGGGCTTTTTAAGTAGCAGTACCTTAGTAAATCACCAAATTTTCAGTGCGTCTCAAAAGCGTGATTTTCCGGTCACACATCAAGAACGGGGTGGAAAGGACTACTAAGCGGCGCATCTGCGCTCGCGACATGAAAGCCGATGTTGCTTTTTATAAGGGTTGGGCTGTAAGACAATCTTTTCAACGCCGCAATGGTGTCTCATTTGACGGAAATGCTATCTAGTAAGGGTCCGACGTACTTACACAGAGAATTTTGGACTACTTCCATGTCGGCTAAATGCTAGTTCAACGCTCCTGGGCAAGCCTCACGATTGCGTAAGTTCTGTGTCTCTCTCCAACTCCCCCGTATTCTGCGCAAGAGAGCAGGGACAATAGCGGAGTATAAACTGTGAAATCTCCTTGGCTTACGTTGTATGGCGACAAGAAATCCAGTTGCTGAACACCGTTGGACTGCCACATGAGTGAGCATACCAGCCTGAGTAATTTGGGCCTCGGCAAGTACATAAGAGCCTGGGAAGGTAGTCCAATTGCAAGCGCACAATGTTACTCCATGATTCCTCGTGTCATCACCAATGAGTTCAATGGACAACTTTTCACGAAGGCCAGGCGGCGATAGGTCACCATTAGCAAAGCCTAAAAGTCAAAGATGCTTCCAACGCAGCAATGTATTCATCTGTATACCCTATGCCTCATCACTTCCCAACGACGGAGCGGAATAGCGGCATTGCCGTGTAGTCAAGCAAAGAAGAGGGAGTCCTCTTCATCAATGGAGGTTTATCTGTGAACGTAGGTCGTTAGCATGAGATCACACCTAAAACGCACCAAGTCATGACGCAAAATGCCCCTCCGTCCAAAAGTGCAAACAGAAATCAACTCACGAACAAGAGACCCCCAGCCCTTGGCCCGCGCCGAAACTCAAACCTCCTCCGTGGCGGAGAAGTACTCCGACTCACTCGGAGCACTGGTGCTGCCGTTGTCGTCATCGTTGGTGTCGGTGTAGAAGGCCGTATCAGTGAAAACGCTGCGGGGGGCGGGCACGGTGCGCTGGTGGGCGGTGTAAGTCTTGAGGACCATCTGGGTCGCTACATCCATACACTTGTCAGCATCATCACCTCAATGCCATCTAAGTTCAGAACGGCGACGACGTACCAGCGACCAGAGCAGCGAGGTGATCCATGTACTGCTTCTTGGTGGTAGCTATCTTCTCAATCACTGTAATATCCAAAAGTATTAGCCGTGCTTCCAACTTAAACGTTCATTCTCAAAATGCAGTGTATAGGGGTAAGGTATCAGAGTAACTTTGTAGATCATGTGAGTGGAGCCGAGGCAACAACTTATCAGATCTCTTCTATCTCTTGTGTATCTCATCATGTACCATTCGACCAGGGAAGAAAGCACGGAGGTTCTCGAAAATGAGGCTGCACTCACGCTGCTGGTCGCCAGGAGGAGCGGCAGCCTCCATCAGCCGGAGCGTCTCGATGCGGTTGACGTAGTGAGTGCACCAGTCGAGAGTCTCGTCGATGAACGGGAAGATGTCGGCCATTTTGGAGCTTGATGCGGTGACTTGGAGAGGGTGGGTGGACTGCGAAGATGAAATGGTCAACGGCTTAGCTATCAAGGGGATATAAATGACGGGGAGAGTAAAAGAAAGAAAAGTCTTCAGAATTTTAGGTTCGTCTCTTTCACTCAGGGACGAGCAGTCTTGCTGTGCAAGTAAAGCCCCACGAGCAACGCAATCGACTCAATGCGTCCGCATGGCGACGGAGACGAATGGAAAATGTAGCCAGACGTACCTGAACGGGAATAATCTCAAAACGCGCGTGACGGGCAACAGTCAAGATCGGGAAAGCCAAGACGTCGATGTGGTTTGGTGAAGCTGCGATTCGTGCGGTCGAGATGCCAAAAAGCTATCCTCCACACCCAGGCAGTGAAAAAGAACGACAACTGGCAAAACCCACGACGCGCTTTCTGCGTAGAACGGGCCACTTTCTGAGCGGCGCTGTGGAGCCAGACGAACGGTGGGAGGGAAAAAGCAGTCGAGCAGGGCGAGACCGCTTTCCGGGCGTGTTGTATCTGTGGGGAGGTGCTTGAACAGGCCTGCGTTGGCGAGGGAGAGGTGGGAGGTTAGAGACCTGGGGGAGGCCTGGGGAGTGGGGAGGAAGACGTCGAGGAGGGACATTGACAAGGTGCGACGGGTTGCGATCCAGCTGGTCACGTGGAGGGCAGGTTGTCGAGGACCATGTGATGGAGGAGCAGCTGGGGGAGATGCTTTTGCGAGAACTTGGAGGGTGATGGAAAAGTGTGTAATGCTGGTTGTTTCGTTTCGTTGCTGGCCACTTGATATATTTGAGCTCGCAGTCAAAGGGGGCCGTAGAAGGAAGCAGTAGCATCTGCTGGAAGGAGCTGGCCAAATGTAAACAAAGCAGTTGAAAGAATGATCACTGAAAAGTTGGCATGGCGATTTAGTACTCACCAGGATCTTTGAATTTCTTGCCCTGAGTTGGTGGTGCTGGAACAGGCAAGTCTCGGAGCCGTGGAGTCGGCCTTGGCCCCACTCCGGTGCCGATGCCGGTCCCTGACCCGGACCTCCGGGCTGGGAGCTACCCATTCAAGTACAACGCTACAGCGTAATTTCGACAAAGGAAGGTAATCGGCCTTGGGTATGCCTCCTTAATAAGCTTCTACGCCACAACGATATGATATAGTAGAGTTTCAGACTTCCGAATCGAATACTGCTGTTGAGCATGATACCTTTGGAGTACAGACGCTCTTACATCATCAAAGGTTGGATAGTTTATCATCATTTGACTACATCACATGAGCTCTGGGTCAGGAGCAATGGGTGTTGTCTAAGCTACTTCGTTTTATTGAATAATATGATGCGACATGATATGAACATTTGCTCCATATCCCATATCCACATCTTGTCGTCTGAACATTATTTTCATAGAATTATACATTAAATACAACGCTGAATATCGGTCATGATATGGGCGAGGTGGCCCGGGTGTCCTTTTTCCATCCATACATCCATAAACATTACTCGCATCAAAGAAGGGCAGCAATGACGACACCGGCGGCGGCGGCGACCACACCGGAGCCGAGACGGCCGGCGGCGTTGGTGACCTGGACCGGAGGGGTGGTGGTCTTGCTAGGGCTAGGAGCGGGTGTGGTCTGAGCCGGGGGAGTGGTGACGGCCGGAGGAGGGGCGGGAGGGTTGCTAGCAGGAGGAGCGGGGTTGCTAGCAGGGGGTGCGGGGCTGCTGGCGGGGGGAGCAGGCGTACCAGCGGGAGGAGGGGGAGTGCCGGCAGGAGGAGGAGGAGGGGGAGTTCCGGCGGGAGGAGGAGTACCAGCAGGAGGAGGGGGAGGAGTGCCGGCAGGAGGAGTACCCGCGGGAGGGGGCGCAGGAGAGCTGGCAGGCGGAGCAGGAGGAGCAGGAGGCTGGCTGCTCGGAGCGGGCTTGACGGTGCTGAAGGTGTGAGGAGGAACGCTCTCCGTGACCGGGCAGATGGTGGTTGATACAGGGATCGTCTCGGTGGTGACGTGAGTCTCGCCAGGGCAGTTGGGAGTTCCAGGAGGGCACTTGGTGATGGTGTGGACCTGGGTAGTGTAGACGGTGGATGTGGTCCAAGTTGCCGGGGGAGGGGGAGGGGGAGCAGGAGTGGAAGTCTCAGTCACGGGGCAGATGGTGGTCGAGACGGGAACGGTGACCGTCGTGATAGTGCCGGGGCAGTGGGGAACGTGAGGCGGGCACTTGGTGATGGTCTCGACGTGGGTGGTGTAGATGGTCGAGGTGGTCAACTTGTCGGTAGTTTTTGTGTGGTGGGGCTTGCTCGTGGTGTTGGCCCAAGGGGTGGTCGTGGGAGGAGTGTAGGTAGGGACGGTGTGAGAGTGGTGGCTCTTGGTGGTGTGTCCCTTGGTGCTGCTGACCTCGGTGGAGGACTCGCAATCGGTAGAGGTAGAGGGGGTGTAGACGGGCTTCGAGCTGCTTACGGCAGTCGAAGTAGTGTCGCAGTCCTCAGTGGAGGTGGTGGTTGGAGTATGGACGGGCTTCGTGCTGGTGATGAAGGTTGTGGTGGTGCAACTCTCAGTGGAGGTGGTCGTGGTCGTGCAGTCCTCCGTGGAGACGGTCGTGGAGTTGTAAGACTTGCTGGTGCTCCAGGTCTTGGTAGTCCAAGTGCTGTGACCCTTGGTGCTGCTCACCTCGGTGGAGGTGGTGCAGTCCTCAGTTGAGGTTGTCGTCGGGGTGTGGACCGGCTTGGTGCTGCTCACGAAGGTGGAAGTGGTGTCACAATCCTCGGAAGAAGTCGTGGGAGTATGGACGGGCTTTGTGGAGCTGACCTCAGTGGAGGTAGTGCAGTCCTCAGTCGAAGTGGTGGTAGGAGTGTGAACAGGCTTGGTGCTGCTGACGGCGGTCGTCGAAGTCGTGCAGTCCTCGCTGGAAGTGGTCGGGGTGTGGACGGGCTTCGAGCTGCTCACCTCGGAAGAAGTGGTGGGAGTGTGAACGGGCTTGCTGCTGCTAACAGCGGTCGAAGAAGTGGTATCACAGTCCGAGGTGGAGGACGAGCTGTGGACGTAGGTGCTGCTGACCGGCGTCGTGGAGGTGGTGCAGTCCTCAGAGGAAGTGCTGGTGGAGTGCTCCTTGGTGCTGCTCGGAGTAGGAGTAGGAGTAGGCGTGGGGGTGACATAGACGCTGGTTGAGGTGGTGATGACGGGAGTGCTGGAGGTCGCGGGAGCGGAAGAGGTAGTGGCTGGGACGGTGTTGGTGATGCTGTAGGTAATGCAAGAGCACGCCGAGGAGACAGCCTTGATGTCACCGCCACAGTTGTTGAAGTCAGTTGGGATGGCTGACGGGGCAGTGGTGGTGCCGTGGAGGAACTCGACGCAGAAGGTCTTGGCCTCCTCCTCGAAGCGCTGGTCGATCAGATTGCGGTAGCAGCCATCGTGCTCCTGGTTTGTGTTAGTGAGTGTCACTGGACATGGAGGCCCTCACGTGACGGGGGAGACATACGCAGAAGGGGTACTCCCAAGCGTTGACGGACGCCAGGGCCATGGCGCCCAGTCCCATGTAGAGGCCGCGCATCTTGAGTTGGTTTCGTGTGTTGTTGAAAGCGAATGACGGTGACTTTGAAAGTCTACCAGTTGAAAGCGAAAGTAGTATTGCCAAAAGGCTTGAAGCGACCGTGGGTGAGGAGGAAAGGGGGCAAGAACCAGAGTGCCGGAGCAGCGATGCGACCTTTATGAGAAGCCATGACTCCGGGGTGAGGTGGATGGGATGGGCCAAGTCGGGGTTGCGGCGGGCGGAAGCGATCCCATGCTTGATGCACCCATGGCCCCTTCATCCGCTCCATCCACGGTGACGGAGAGGCTAAGAATACGAGCTTGGTGCTGGAGCCGCAGTCGCCTCGTGGTTGATGTCCCGTTGCCCATGGACCCAGCCAGCTGTGCAGCCTAACCCAGCCATCCATTGATGTACATGCATGCAGAATTAGGGTAGGGCACCTTGGGTTGCAGGCTGGGCCGCTGCATCATGGCATTGGTGGTGGAGGTAGGCGATGGTGGGTGTGGTGATGTTGCTTAGCTTCGGACCACTCACACCACAACGGCGGCACCTCATCGGCCAGTCGACGGGCAGCAGTCGGCCCTTGGAGTACATGGTGAGTCGGCGATGGCGCCCTCCGTCAGCTCGTACCGAGTGCTAGCGTGATGGGCTGTCATGGCCTCCATGGAGACGGGACAGACGGCGGAAGACGGGTTGGGATGGGCTGGTTGCTGTCAGTGATCTCACCGGTGGAAACAGACATGAAGGGGGAGAGAGGCCGTACCTTGGATTGTAACGACGGGTTGACGCTAGAAGTGCGGAGGATCTTCAAGTGAGGAGTTAGGGTCCTCTTTTCCCAAGTCTATTGAAGGTGGCCCAGGTGGTTTTTCTCGTGTTGCTGCGATGATTGGACTGATGATGTCTGGACGTTTCTTGACGGATGGTGGCGCCGGGGTGTTGCTGGATCCGTAGAAGTCCCACCGATGCGGGCCCGTAAGGATGAGTCTAAGTTTCTTTCAATGTGTCCGGCCGTTTCTTTCTTTTCGCCGGGCTTCTTCCCTCTGCATGAATAAATGGGTTTGCACGTTGAGAAAAAAATCAGAAAGAGCCTAGAAGACCAGATGCCTCCTTCCCCCTGCCTTTAGGCGTCCCTTAGCGTGGTTTAGCCAGGGGTTGCCCAGCCGTCGAATGACAGTGACGGTCCAGCAGAGCCAATCAGCGGCAGCCAGAACCAGATTTAGGCAGGTGGATGTGGGCGGGCAGTTGCTGCCTCGCTGGGCAACTGCTACTGCAACTGCAACTGCAACTGCCCTGCACCTTCTTCCGCGGTGGAGAGTTGGAACATTCGGCTAAGGCGGAAGGGACGAACGAGGTGACGGGGTGACGGGGTGACGGTCCTTCCTGACAGCCATCGCTATCCTCTATCTCTCCGCACTTGAGGAAGGAACCTCTTGCCTTCCCTCTGCCTTTCATTCTATTGCCAGCTGGCTGTCTCTTGCCGT